AGCTCGAAGAAGTTCGAGAAACGTAGAAAGTTATTTTTGGAATAAGAATCTATAGAGATAGATTAAATAAGACCATTGGATTATGTCAAGATGCTTGTGTAGACTATCCTCGAGTATTTCAGAAATACTAAGGATAAGTTTAATCTGTGGAGGAAGTGATGAACTTGTTGAACTGTGTGTTGGAAGAGTTCCAAGAAAGATACCCTAACAGAGTCTCAACGGATGCAAATGCTGCTGATCCATTGACCAAGCCTCTTCCATAGCCTAAGATGAGAGTCATGTTGTAGTTGTGGTCATTAAGTATATTAAGATGTGATCTTGATTTTAGTGGGAGATTTTACGTTTATGATATGATGTTCATATTGACATACATTTGAATATGTATTCAAACTAATGAAATTGTTTCAGATTTATTTGATTATTGGATAATTAAATAAATGTCCCAAAGTAATTTATATTATTCTTATAGGTCATCAAGTGCGTGACTTGATCATGAAACCCTATAAGTGAAAGATGTTATAAATTATTAAGGTCCCTAGTCAAGGTTGTTAACGTGGGACATTAATAACCATGAATGGCTAGTTTGTGAGGTGATTGATGACTAAGTTTCATGGAGTCATTCAATATGTGGTATTGAAGCCAATCACATGGATATGTGTTAGAGAACACATGATCGGACAGACCCGCTAATGAGAACTCTGCAAGATTGTTATATGAGTGTCATAAGAGTTTCTCATTACGACTATAGAGTATAGTCCTTAGACCTGAGTTCATCATGATTCTTTACTTGTGGATTAGTTCACTTTGATCTTGTCAAACGTCAGCCGTAACTGGTGATTATAAAGGCATTGATTAGGTGTTCTATGAAATTTGTAAGGAACAGGGATGGAACAAGATGGGATTTGTCCCTCCCATATAACGGGAGATAAATATCTCTGGGCCTATCGAAGATTTGATACTGAGAAATGCATGGCCATACTCAAACGAGGTGAATGTCAGTCGTTTGTTTTATCAGTATAAATCAGAGTTCGATAAAAGTGATCTAGCTTAATAAGGATGACACAAGTTCTTGCCTTATGCTAAGATCGAGATATAGAGACAAAGGGATTATGAGAATATATGATTCTAGTACAAGTGGGAGATTGTTGGGAATGTCCTAAAATCATTTGTACTTACTCTAGTAGAAGTCGTAACGTCGAGGTTCGACAATCGTATAAAATTAGGTGGTTATAATGTTTTGCTAGAAACCGCTTATAATCTATAGATTAAGAATCTATTACTAATTTTATATGATCCTACAGGGTCACACACCTAAACAGACTAGATCAATAATATTTAAGGTTTAAAGTAATATGATATATATGATATAAAATGTTATATTATATATACATATGTGTTATGCTCGTTTGCACAAAAATGATTAATGTAATCACTTCTTAAATTGGGCTGAGCCCATTAACCTTTAATTAGGTTATTATACGTGCATTATATAATGACACAAGGAAGTTGTGTTGATTTAGTGTAGCCGTAACCTAAATATCAGAATAGGAGACGAATGGTTCGTTGAGAAGATCTTGCGGCACTAGCATCCCGTTCCGATCTAGTCTGTGTGCGTGTGGATACCGGTAGAGGCACTACATTTGGAGTGCTGATAACCTTGGTTTGATTCATTCATCTTTCCGCTGCGAATAACCAGGTATATTCGAGAACCCTAAAGATCTAGATTTATTTCAGTATTTACATGAGATTCTAGGCAAACTGAATTCATAAATAGATTTATAAATAGTTATAAACCGGTATGAATTCCTACAGGATGAAGTGAGAAAGGTTATTAATGTAAATGTGTAATCCGGTTTAGGATAAGTTGATTAGCTGATCTACTTATCCTAAACAGGATTACACATTTACGTTAATAAAGGTTAATGACGGTATGCCATATAATTGTAAACAGTTTATCAGGTCCTAGTTAATCGCAACGTAACACGTCGACGTTGGACTCATTAAGGAGTTAGTGGAAGAACCACCATACGCGTAAGGAACAAATTAAATGATGATAGCTTGTGATGAAACGTGTCAAAAGCATTTCTTAACGAGTATGTAAATAGAAATCATTACATCCCTAACTGAACATTATGGGAGTGCCGATGACACATAACATGAAGACTAAACTGTTTGGCACCTATACACACATAGTCTTACAAAAAAAAAGGCCGACACGTGAAGCACTTAATACCATATGTTATTCATTAGTATCTTTACCCGATATACTAAACCGAGAGAAGTATAAGTACAAGGATTAGCATCATTTAGAGAAAGAGTTGATTGGTCTAAGAGTAATCATTTCACAGTTTAGAGAGATCAAATCCTTAGGGTTAAATTAAACTTAATAGCATTTGCATCCTGTTAAACTTTCTAGCCTTTTTAATTATAAAAAGCATGCCCTCGGTGTTCCAAGCGGTCCTAACCATTTTCTGCGGTGCAAAATCATCTCTTCCCCATCAGCCAAACCTCACACGTATCGATATAGTTCAACTTGACCAAAGTTGTACGTGAACAAAATACATTATAACATGAATAGAGTATAGATTTTCATATATATATATATATATTATCCTTTTCTCTTTTATTTCTAGATAAGATTATGTTTAATCTGTAACGTGTGTTCTAAGAGCGTTAAACTAAAAACGTCAAATTTGAATTCCTATTAGAAGAAGACCATCCAATAAATAACAGTCAAGTAAAAATTTCAATCATTGATTAATTAAGAAAAAGTTATGATTGTTTTTAGAATCAATACAATAATAAAATCCTCAAAAAGGAATTTAGTTCAAAAACACATGCAACCAGAAAAAGAAACCGGACTACTTGCTTACAAACTACTTCAACATCATCAGAAGTTTACTTTTTTTTTTTTTTTTTTAACTCTGAGTAACTTGTATTGAAAATGGAGAAAGCTCCAAGTACTGATCGCTAAGAACAACAAACAAACAAAAACTACTCGAAACTGAAAGGAAAATATTAAGCAACAGAGATCGTAAGATCTCATACTTTATTAAATGTTTGTTTACCGAATATTATTACATCTTCTATTTTAGTACATTTTGTTTAAAGTGAAAAATTCTAGTAATATACGAAATTATCATAACTGTGCAAATACAAAAGCAAAGTTCCAAGATCTGAAGAATACTCAACAGAGATCGTCATGATACGATCTATGATTTTTGTTTCCCTTCCAGAATATCCTATATGATTTTCCTTCACCACTCAGAATATTATTTGACTATTCTTAGAAATAAATAATATAAAAACTCGATCGCTTTTGATTTTTTTCCCCCTCAAAAACTTTATTGTAAATGATTTTATTTTATATTTGAATTTGACAAAATTTGAATATCACGACTTTTTGGAAAGAAAACAGAGTAAACAAATAATATTCCACGCGTAATCGACAGACAAAATCCCACAGATATGCAAAGATCTCTTAGAATCTCTCGATTATCATATTTTCCCTCTCTTTTTCCCCACTCTTCCTTATAAATCCTTTATTCCTTTTCCTTTTCCAAAATCAAATCTCTCTCTCAACTTTCTTCTCTAAATCATCATAAGCACAGATTCTAACTCTCTCGTTCTTTCACGTTTACCAATCTTTGATTTGACATGGCGGAGGTTATGCGTCCGGAGAAGTTGGACATATCCAACGACACTGCTTCTTTAGCATCGCAGGAGCTTCTTCACGTTCTCGCCGTTGACGACAGCATCGTCGATAGGAAGTTCATCGAGCGGTTGCTCAGAGTATCTTCTTGCAAAGGTAATAAGAAGGAGAAGTTTATGTTCATCTTGAGGAATCTTTTTTAATGTTTTTTCGAAATCTGACCGTTTTTTTTTTGAAAAATTGTTCAGTTACTGTTGTGGATAGCGCGACAAGGGCTTTGCAATATCTTGGTTTAGATGGAGATAATAGTTCTGTTGGATATCAGGTAATACATATTATATGATTGTAATGATTCTTATTTAGTGTTGAGAATCCATTCAAAGTTGGTACTGATTTATTTTTTGAATATTTGTTAGGATCTGAAGATTAATCTTATAATGACGGATTACTCTATGCCTGGGATGACTGGTTATGAACTATTAAAGAAGATCAAAGTAAGTTTGTTAGATCTTTTTCTATTCTGATTGATCTGAGCAAATATAATGAAAGTTTTGATCTAACCTGTTTTTATGTGAATTTTGAATATTTATAGGAATCATCAGTTTTCAGAGAAATACCGGTTGTGATCATGTCCTCAGAGAACATCTTGCCTCGTATCGATAGGTATGTTCTATTCTCCTATTATCTTAATCACCATCATTAATCCTTTTTTAAGTTAGGATTATGCATCATTAACCCGTTATAGTAATTTTATTAGATTTTGTTGCATTTACTACTTTGGGATGATCAAAAGGGCGGTTTGTTTAGAGAAACTTTTTAAGTAATCAGGATTTTTAATAAAAAGATACCGTTAAGCAAATATGCATTGACCTAATTTAATTTATTTTTATAATCATATCAGATTAGTAAGATAATGAAAATGATATGGTTTCTTTAAACCATCATGGGTAACAATGGTGGTGGTTGTAACTTTCGATCAAAGCTAAAGATTTGGTGTCGCTTTAGTGGGTCCTTGAAATATTTAATTAAAGGATATTAGGAATATGTAATAATAAGAAAATGGTTTCTTGTGGCCCCAAAATAAGAAAAGAATAATCCGGCATAAGTTAAGCAAGATCTTCTTATGAGATTTGATTCTATTGCCGGTGATGTGTTTGTTAATAACCCCGATTTTTTTATATAAGATATGCTTTTAATTTTGTTTGCATAATCTTTGGTAGGGTCACTTATAAATCCAATCCTCGTGATAGACACCTCACATGCATTTGTTTATTATTAAGGAACCATCTTTACCAAAAATTAAAGTTCAATCATGTAGTTGCTTATTGTTATGCGCTGGCCATTTTCTTGATTCAAAGCTATCAATAAATAACTAGATCACTAATATATGATTCTCTTTTTTTTTTTTAATATTTCAGATGTCTTGAAGAAGGTGCTGAAGATTTCTTATTGAAGCCTGTGAAGTTGGCTGATGTGAAGAGATTAAGAGATTCTTTAATGAAAGCTGAGGAAAGAGTATACAACAATATTATGCACAAGAGGGAGCTAGAAGCTAATGATATCTACTCGCAGCTAAAACGTGCGAAGATCTGAGTCTTTTTTTTTTGTTCATACTCTATGATATGAACTTTAAAAAGCTAGCGTATAAAAGGCTCACAGATTCACACGCACTTTCAGCATGTCCCTGATTCTTTCGGCTAACGATTTTTGGGACTTTAACAGCCTTTTTTGCTGATAGAACTGAGGACTGAGGAACGATTTTTTTTTCATAAAATAGAAATGTAAATTGTAGTCAGAAGAAAGTGGGATTTATCAGAGAGGACAAATATATGATTTTTTTCTTTTCTTTACATGAATTGTGTAAGATGTTAACTGTGGAAGTTTATTACTAGCTAAGAATTTTGCGCTGCCTTCACTTTCAAGGTTGAATCTCGACACAGCCGCATGACACATTGATCTTAATCTTCAAAAAATTTGAAAGTTTTTTTATATAGAGATAAACCTCTAAATTACATGGAATGCTTTTTTATGAATTATTTTTTTTTTTAAATGTTTATTGCCCTCAAAATCTCATATGCTGCTCTGAATCACTTTACAAGAAAAGTGTTATACGAGTAAACTGAAGACTCGAGTACATTTCTGGCGGGCAAAAACCTTTCTGATGTAGTTGTAAAGGGCTAATATTCAGAACTTTTGTTTTTCCTCAATTCGGAATTTTTTAAGAAGTACTTTTACTAGTTGTAAGTTAATAATCAAATCATGTACTTAAAGTTGAGCTGAAAAACAGTAAGAAATATGTAAATGATGAAATACGTGGTGACTGTGTTCTTGAGTGTAAAATTCGCTATTCTTTATAAAAAGCTGAAGAGTTGTTCAAAAAAAAAAAAAAAAAAAGCTGAAGTAAATTATATTTATGCTTAAAACGATGTAGCCAAACGAACATTTAGATGTTCATTAATATGAAAATATCACTTACATTAGCGTCGTCAATTGACAAGATGAGGTGCTAGACGTCCTAAATTCAAAGTAAATTATGCACCCGTATAAAGTTTTTACTGAAAACACAAAATATTTTAAATTGTTTGTCTTTTGACTTCTAGGATCAGGTTTCAAGTTCAGAAAGATGAACCAGATTACTAAAAGAAATTAAAAAAAAAATCTTGGTTTTTGTAAAAAATAACTCCATTAATTTTCTATTAATGAATTCAACACTAGTTTGCATTGACAATAGCATATTCCCGAACTTTGTTTGTAATACACCGAAATATGATAATCGTCAATAAAACTTAAAATAATGATTTAGAAATAGATTAGTACTATTCATTTCACAAAGTCAAGCTAATCTCTTACCTAATTAAACTAGGCTGTCAACATGGTACCGTCCAGCATTATGTAAGTTAACTATTTTACATGTAGTGGTTGTACCACAGAAAATGGCTTTTCCTAGAAATTTCCCCAAGTTGGGTTTTCAGTAAGACCAAGACGATCCTAGTCTCATAGACTTTTTCCATCTGAAACACAAGTCAAGCTACAAAAACAAATTATTATTTCCAAGCGGATACAAACTTTTCTCAACCAAAAAGCATTAAGAAAACAAAGAAAATTGAAAAATTCTGACCATAAAGTGACGTTACTACGAAAACCACCGATGTTGATTGTACAGAGAGTCATTGCAACGAATGCAACCAAAAGATGATCTCTATTGGAGTCGACGAAGACCTCAAAAGTCAAGCTACAAATATTCTAAAACAAGATTCTTCATAAGAAAATACTGAGAAAAACTTTAGGACAAAAGCCGAATGAGATTTGCTTGGAAATTCCCTTCATGTCGGACGTACAGTACTATGATCCAATGAGAACTCTCCACGTGAATGGGTAAGGTTTCTTTTACCTATTGACCAATAACCAAAGTAGAGTCAAGTTATCAAACATATCATAAATAAATTAAAGGCAACCAGTTCTTAAAATATTCCCAAAAACCCAAGTTGCAGTGAACTCTCTCTTCACGTTTTCGATGGGTATTTTTGGTAATTATTTCCGTACATCCCTTCCTTTTATATCTTAAACTTAATCCATCCGCAGGGAAGAAGAAAGACCATAAGCAAGAAGACTCAGAACAAATAGAGATTAAAATCAATGGCGTTAGATGCACTTGCCGGAATCAATAATGCTCTAATCGCAACATCATTGAGGGCATCCACCAGAGCTTACACCACCGACCACTTCCACACGGAAGTAGAAGGCGATACAGTCTTTTTTGCTTTCAAACCATCTTTCTTGGAGAAAGATTGGTTTGATCCAGAGAACAAATCTTCCTTTGGAGAAACCAAGATGAACCGTGAACACTTCCCTTGTATGAGAAGCATCGGCAACGACGTTGACGCAACCGTCAACGAAGCTTTCCTCAAGAATCTCCAGCTTCTCATTTCAACCTCATTTCCTCATTCCGTAAGTATCAAACTCTTTTGACCTTTTCTTGAAAACATATTGACTCATTTATTATGTCTGAAAACTTGTAGGTTAAAACGGTTGTCGACAGCATGAGAAGTCAACGGATAGTCTTCACAGGACATTCCTCAGGAGGCGCAACTGCAATCTTAGCAACGGTTTGGTATTTGGAAACATACTTCACAAAGCAGAGTGGTTTCTTCCCTGAGCCTCTTTGTTTAACCTTTGGAGCTCCTTTGGTCGGTGACTATGTCTTCAAACACGCTCTCGGGAGAGAGAACTGGAGCCGCTTCTTCGTGAACTTCGTCACAAGATTCGATATCGTCCCTAGGATCATGCTTGCTCGAAAGGCGTCAACAAAGCAAACTCTCACTCGTGTACTTCCCCAGTTGGATCCTAGAGCTTTGGTCCAAGAAAACGACCAGAGCATCCCATTGTTTTTCACAACGGTGATGAAAGACACAGCAACTGTGGCTCACCAAGCTGTTTGTAAACTGATTGGAAACGGAGAGCCGTTTTTAAAAACACTTTCAAGTTTCCTTGAGTTGAGTCCTTATAGACCAGCAGGGACTTTTGTATTCTCTACAGGGACGAGATTGGTCTCAGTGAGCAACTCAGATGCTATTCTTCAGATTCTGTTTTACTCTTCTCAGTCAAGCAACGAGCAAGAGTTGTCTCTAAGACCATATCAAAGCATAAGAGATCATCGTACCTATGAGGAGATGGTACATTCATTGGGAATGAAAGTTGTTGAGCAACTGGATTTACATCACTTGCCTTTGAATGGTGGAGACTCTGCACTCAGTGACCTTGGACTGGTAAAATCTTTCTCTCTTTGCTCCATAGTTTGATCCTTTTTTAGTTCTAGACCACAAAGATATGAGATTTAGGGGGCTAAATATTTTTAAGTTAATCTTGATTAAATAAAATTCATCGATCATATACTATTAGGGACAAAATTCCCACATCAGTTGTTGAAAATGATCCTAAGTAATATATAAGATGGATGAGTTACTCCACTTATCACCAATTGGTTTATGTTGGAATTCCATCTAACTTAACACATACTGCCTTTTATAAGTGTCAGTCGGGGGTAATCCACGTCTATTTATTCATATCCAAATGGCCATTTTTTGTTTCAGGACAAAGAGTAACATGTCTATTAAAAACCGAGTTCATTAAAGATCAAACCCACTAAAAACCATGTTCATATGGTCCACAAAATTATTAAAGACCACATAAGAAAGAAGAAAATCATAAGTTTATGTATAATAAGTCTTTGAAATTTAGGAGTTAATGTGAATGCTTTATCCGGCTTTGTTAATTTGATGTTTTTTTTTTTCTTTTGCAGAGCACAAGAGCTAGACAATGCGTCCGTGCTGCATTTGAGGCAGAGAAGAAGAGAGTCGATAACCAAAGCAAGATAGGCACAAAGAAGCCTAGAATAATAGAGAGGCTGACATGGATAGAGGATGACTACAAGCCAAAGTGTCTAACTCATAAAATAGGGTACTATGATTCCTTCAAGGAATCTAATGAAGAGAAAGACTTCAGAGCAAACGTCACTAGAGCTGAGTTAGCTGGTATATTCGACGAGGTGCTCGGTCTAGTGAAAGAAGGCCAACTTCCAGATGGTTTTGAGGGGGGCATTGAGTGGATAGAGCTAGCAAATCGTTACCGTAGATTGATCGAACCACTTGATATTTCAAACTACCACAGGCACTTGAAGAACGAAGACACAGGGCCTTATATGATACATGGAAGACCAAACCGTTACAAACACGCTCAGAGAGGGTATGAGCATGATTTAATGAAGGCAGGAAGGAGTGCAGAAGAGATAAAGAGATCTGAGTGTGGATCTTGCTTTTGGGCTGAGGTTGAAGAACTCAAGAGAAAAGAATATGATGAGGTAAGTGTTAAGAAACTAGAAGAGTTGCTTGAAGGATGGATCAGAGACAAGGAAGTAGATGATGAGCATATATTTGTGGAGGGCTCATCATTTAAAAAGTGGTGGCATTCACTTCCTGAGGTTCACAGATGCGGCTCTAGCTTGCGAGTGCGTATGGGTTAAACAAGAGCTACCTGTTTAAGCTAGTGGAGCTGCCTTGTACACATTTGTCTAATAAAGAGATGTTATAGCTCTCTATTCTAATGTTTTTAATTTTGGTTTGCACTTTAGGTTGATCTTAAAATAAGAAACATGATCTTAAAGATCATTGTTAAGTGATGTAATAGCTCTATGTTCTAATGTCAAATTTGCTTTCCACAAGCCTAAATCCATATTATAGCATGGAAAAGAAAAAAAAAACACCCTTAGCGTTGACAGAAGGAAATATACAGTGAAAGAAAACCATAATATCATTACAAAGAAGCCTGAATGTACGAATAATGTTGGTTAAAATACTAACTTCTAATCCTCAAAAAAGTCGGTTGTGAAAACGCTCCCAAGGTCTAGCTACTACAATAACCAAGGAAGAAAATGTTTACAACCCTATGCAAAATTCAAAAACTTGCCATTGAGGTTCTTCTGCATTGCTAGTTTACTTTATATGAAAAATTGGTTATCATTTTACTAATTCGTAATTTGCTTTATGATTTTTTAAAATTCATCCTATTCAGTTCCCTGACCAAAAAATATTATTCAGCTCTGTATGGTTTTTAATATACAAAACAAACAATTTAAAAGGAAGATTTAGATAGAATTGCATACCTGTTTTTCTTTGTTAGAAAACTTCACTAAAAACAAAACAACTTCCGGTGGAAGCATCTTTAGTCGAGTGATTTGAGTTTTGAATTTCAGGAAATGCGATTTATCACAAATCATGCTAATTACTGGAAAAAGCACATATAATATTCATCATTGTGCAAACATGAGATTTCCATCATTGTGCAACAGAACCGCCAAACGTATATCTTCATAAAACGACTCGATATGATGACTGAAGTAAAATCGTTAGACGTCAGTCGAGATATGTAGATTTATAGAATGCAAAGTTGTGTACAAAAAAAAAAATCGTATTGCTTGCTTCAGTTTATTTTAGGCCAAATGGGAGAAACAGAATTGGTTCGATGACTATCCAGTTTACCTCTAGATAATTATGGAAAAAGAACAGAGTACACTAGGCAACAACTTGAAGTTTAAATCTGAAAGACTGAAACCCAAGTCAAGCTATAAAAACTATTATACTCTTTTTTTTTGCCAAAACAGTATATGTGAAATTCATTAACAACTAGGGGGTGGCCGGCGCTACGCGCCGGGTGTCGATGTCTTATGGCTTAAATGTGAACAATAATTATTTTGTGTTCTTGTTTGGTTTACTATAGTATGCATTGCATGTAAAAGGTACAGCTTATAAAGGAGACTGTCAATTGAAGTTCCAAATTAATTTTAATGTTTTATAAGGAACTTGTTTTCGATATAGTGTGGACAACGTATTCTTGTTGCTGGCCTGTGATATTTTAAATGCTAGTGATACATATTTTTTTTTTAAATGCAGGTGATCCTTTCTAAACAAAATAGAATTATTATCCAAATGCTACATCAATTATTCATAACATAACTTACTCTGCCTAAGCTTACGTGACTCATTCTGCACGTTAAACTGCAAACTATTAAACTTGGGAGCAATTTTGCAAGGTTTGTTATTCAGTTTGAGATAGAACATTATTAAACTTGCTATTACATTTCGCACACAATACGGAGATGTGGTTTTATAATACTTTTCTTGTTGGATATAAATGTAATTTGTGTCACCAGCTTGGAAATTTTAATATACACAGATGATATGGTTGCAACTTGCTTGGTGTGTACAATTTAGCTGAGTATTAGCTAGCCAAGCAAAAGAGTAAAAAAACTTTGATATTTAGTTAGGTGCAGCATGCAAAGGAATTTTGATAATGGTAGAAGGCTTTATCATATAATAGAAATGACCAACCACAAATCCGTAATTAAAATTAAAACCAAGAAAACCAGACAGAAAAAAAAAAAAAAAGCCATAAAGTTTAACGCGAGAAAATAACTATAATGAAACATGCAAAGGAAGAAAAGTGTTGGTCGTTCAGGGTGGTGGTAGCACTCATTCCACACGTGTCCTCTTGGGTGGATTTCCTTCTGTTTCAAAGCCTTCCTCCCCAGGGAGGTCAAGCACCCCAAGAGGATTCGTAGGCGTGTTGGACTGGAGTACGGCCTTGCCTGAGTCGGTTTCTGTTGAACCAGAAGCTGTTCCGATTTCATCAGGTACTGCTGTTGCAGTGTTGCCTTCACCTTCCTAGCATTGTAAATGTCAAAGACATAAAATCAGAAATAACGAAATCAAATAAAAAAGGAAGGAAGAAAAAGGACCAACACCCACAGTAAACGTGGGGTTCGGTGCTAGCTGGCTCGCTGGAAAAATCCGAGATATGGTGAAGGTTTGGTGATTTGGAGAGAAGTTGAAATCGGTTAACTTAAGCTGGAAAGTGAAGGTCCTATCAACGACTGCTGCTAGAGACCGAGGGAGGTCGGTGTCAACAGCAGCATGCGTGCCAATCCCCTGTAGCAATTTCCAGTATAGTGTGGTGAATCTATGAGCGAAGGAATAGAAAACTTAAATTATAGAGAAACAGATTAGGCTTACCACTATCTGCGCAGCCTCCGATGCCAGTACGTTTGTGAGTTTAGCAACCTCTTTATCGAAACCAACAAACGCAGCTGTGCCTGTGGCGTCAGACACAGAGAAGACCACTCGATACCTGTTGGACATTGAAGTTGTGTCATTTTTTTTTCAGTCTTAAACAAATTGCAGTTTGCACAACAAACCTGAGCTCAGCAACAGCATTTGTTAGATTGCATGAGGCGCAGGTGAATGATGACTCCTCCCGTAGAAGTTTCTTAGGACAAATGGAGCAGCCAATGTAACACCAGCCGTCATCTAGCTGGACACCAGTAATGGTTGCAGTACAAATAAATTCTATGATCTGATAGCACAGGTAATCAAATTTTAGTTGTGAGTAATTTAATATGTGAGGCAAGACTAATGATTTGGATTAGAACCTGAGGTTCACCGGTCAAGACAAAATCGTTGAGCTCTTTAATGGTGAGTGGTTCGATCTTTTGTGCATGAACCACCTTGGATGAGGATCCTTCTTGGTCCGCAGCACCGCCAGGCAAGCTGTATTGAATATAAGAGGACAAACAACAAACAGTGTGAGGCGATGTAGTACATCAGTGAATTGCTTTTGGGAAATTTTAAAATGTTAAAAAAAAAAAAAAAGTTAACGCCGAGGCCTCGTAATTCTGAAAGAAAAAAACTTGCCGGTTGTAAGCCTCTTTCCCAACCGTTGTTTCACAGTCAAAGAATACACGTGTGGCGGAAGTGCCATTGAGATATAAGCTCCCTGTGGGAGCACGACAACACAGTATCAATGTGAAGTGGATGGAAAAACTGTAATTGAAAAAATTCCTAAAACAACTTATTAACTACCTTTAACTATCTTTGGATTGATGCTCGTTATTATGACAATCTTAGGTTCCTTCCCGTAAGCTGCAAACTTGTCATGGAATGCAATAGCCAAAGCATCGAACAAACTGACGCAGACTTCATCATCACTTCGGAAATGAAACAGAACACATACCAAAAAAGAGTTAATCGGACAGGCCATTCTTAACCTAAATGATCGAGGTGAAAAATTCTTACCTTGCCATTCTTATTGTCAGCATAACGCGAGGTGCTCCTGGAAGACGGTCAGTGATGGTGCTCTTCAGGACACGGAGCTCACCCATCACGTCTACAAAACATACGACGTAAAAATTAATTGTTTTCTAAGCAAACCAATTTAAAATAATAAAATCTCATTTAAATTTGCAAAATAATTACCAGGCAACTGTTTTCCACTATTTGCAAGGTTGCGGATCTGTTCGAATGGTTGAAACCGGAAGAATTCTGTTGGTATCTGCCTTGTAATTGTTTGTAGCTTTTGAAAATCAGTGCCCTCATTGAGACGGATGGCTATAGGGCCATCAGAAAGCCTGTATTTCGTACTGCTTCGTGTCACATCAAACACACTCATGCGGTACAACGATCCTTCAGACAATCGGGACCGGAAAGTTTGCTGAAAGGATGCAGGTATAGACCCTTGCACCATCGTCGACTGTTCAATTCAAACATAAAAGAATTAGAAAAACGTCAACTATTCAGATGTATATGGCGTCGCCGTTCATCTAAATTAGAATCTATTGCGTTCAAATGAAACATACGAAAGAATTAATAAAAACATAAACAATTCAGATTTAAATGACTTTATAATGCATCTCTATCGTAGAACCCCTAAAATCAGAATTAGTTTCATTTTTTTCTTCCGCAGCAAATTAGAAACCCAATCTACGAAAAAGATGAGTTTATGAGATTGGAAAGCCGCTTACATCCTCGTCGATCAACAACATGTCGATGCTCATGAGTTGATTATTTTTGTTCAGGTTCCTGGCCTCCCAGAACCGTAGTAGCCGGATCTCCGCCGTGGTGGAGCATCTTCCAGCCTTCAAGTCAGCAAGTAACGTGTACGAATTCGCCATCGATAACTTCTTCTCGAGTTCCCAGAGTTTCTAGATTTCTTTTGTGTTGTGATTTTCATCTTCTCAGGGACCGCAATTTATAGATGAGATGAAGTCGGTTTTTCTGAAAGTGAAGAGTTGCTAGGGAATCTTAAAGATAGAGGAGTGTGTTAATCGAGATAAACTCGAAAATAAATGACACAAACTATGATAGGGAATGCGTTACAGTTTTGAATCGATGTTAGAGTGTTTCTGATGTAACAGAGGAATAAGAAAGATGAGAAGCAGGAAAGTCGGGGAAGAAGTACGATATTTTCTTGTCCGTAGAAGTAAACACGGGCTTTAAG